AATATAAAACAACTTAAAAGATTTAGAACAGTATTGATTCTGATGTAGTAAATATGTTTTGAAATCATTACAAAATAAATGTCTGAAAATAGTTGGTTACCTGTAGTAATAGAGGCACGACTTTTAACTTCTCTTCAATGGAGTTGACAGAATACTCAAAATCAGCACCAAACTTATCCATTTTATTTAAATAAGCTATCCGTGGTATTCTGTAATGGTCAGCTTGCCTCCAGACTGTCAGACTCTGGGCCTGAAATAATGAAAAATATGTCATCAAAACATCCTTTGACAACTGAGAGACGTCCACATGTCAGCAACAGTTTGTGATGGTTGGTCAATATCTACTGAAACCTACATACATGTACATTACCTGGACTCCCTTAGATGCATCAAATACAGCTACAGCACCATCTAATACCCTCAATGAACGCTCCACCTCTACAGTGAAATCAACATGACCTGCACAGAAAAGTGAGATATAACACTGATAAATTACTTTGAATTTTTTTCTCTGAAAATTCAACACGCTAATTGTAAGCATAACTCCAAAGCAAACAAACACCACTGCACTTGTTCATTACTGAGAGTACCAGTAATTATTAAGACAAAATGGATTAGTCCACAGAAACACATGTTAAAATGGATGAAACTTGAAATACATGCAATGACATACCATAGCCCAAGATCTAATAGACTATTCAAGAGATATGAGATTTGAAAACGATTAGCGCAGAGACAAGAAGACGAAATGGATTATTCAGGAGACCAATGAGATGAAATGAATTATCTCAGAAACAAAACAGTTGAAAAGGATTATTCCAGAGACAAATGAGATGAAATTAATTAACTTACCTGGAGTATCAACTAAATTAATTCTATTATTATTCCAATGAAATGTAATAGCAGCAGATGTTATGGTAATACCACGGTTTCTTTCTTGTGCCATATAATCCATGACGGTGTCACCTGAATCTACGTCTAAAATTAAATTAACATTACATGTATGTAAAGTATTTAGGAATGTCACACCTATTCACCTAGATTTCTCACCCATCAATGTTGGTCAGTCTGAAAAAATTATTTTGGAAATTTTGATGCTTTTTTTGTTAAATGCTGAATTCGACAAAAATCATTGCAAAAAAGATTAATTGAATTTAATATTTGAAGAATGAATGATAAACAAAATAAAAAAAATTGCCACTTGTTATATGTGCAGTGTGGCATCGTAAACATAATCATTATAAAAAGTCACAACTAATTGTGAAGTGAAAAATGATACCATATTTGTTCTATGAGAAGCACATCTTCAATAGAACAGGTTTTTTTTTTAGAGTGGGATGAATGCATACAAACCATGCGAGCGGATGATGCATCTGTGTGCAAGCTTTCAATAGATAAAATTACATTACACAGCTATACCTCCAAGATGTCTACTGAAACCAGAGTAGTACAACATTCTTTCCGTCGTTGTAGTCTTGCCAGCATCTATATGTGCCATTATGCCAATGTTTCTCGTTTTGTTTGTCTCTATTGGTACATCTGCTACCTTGGGTTTCCCTGCGAAGAACATTCATTAAGAACATGCACTATTTATTTTCTTTTAAACAGTCAATTGCCACATGTAGTGCATTCGGTTTTAATGCAAATATCTGACATAATTATAGTATCAACTCTCATCACAGTACATTTTTTTGTGTATATGTGACCGGAAAACATGATATTTTGAATTCACAACTTCACTAGACAGTATCATAAATGGGTGTTTATACCAGGTCAGTACTGAGGACAGAGAGCCCTCTCACCTACCATGCTGTTTCTGCCGTTGACCAGAGTAACAACGCTTGGAAAGCAACCATAGTTTTGGGTTTCTTCTCCAGACAATCACACTTTTAAGAAAGCACTAGAATTAACAATCAGACACAAATACGATACAGTAAAAAGTAGCCATGAGTACAGTCCTGTAGGTTGGTCTCCTTCCACTGATCATTTGACCGGCCCCTCATGATGATGAAAGTCTCTCCTCCATAAATTTGTAGCTGGATGTTGAATCCCCAGTCTATACGACTTCTCAGGACTGTGGGGCCAAATGATCAACGGAAGGAGACCAACCTACAGAACTGTACTCCGGGCTAAGTAAAAGTCAGAGTTGATTGTATAAGATTAATGGTGAGGTTTGGATTTTTCTACACGTATGACTTAATCACTGAAATGAGTGTGAAGACAGCGTTCAATTTGCATTCGATTCGTGTTTGATTCACATACGATTGATATGCCATTGAAATATCCAATTATTTACGCAAATGTTGATATATAGCAATTTCTGCTAATTTAACACTATTTTTTTGCAGAAAAATTGAGATCAATTTAGTATTTTCTGTGGTTATAAATATTTTCATAGTGTTCCTTGACACGACTGCGAATGCGCAGAAGGTCAAAGGGCAATGATTACAAATAAAAACATCATCAAAGATTTTATTTGTTTTTTAAATTGATTGATGATAATTTGAGACTATATTTTTTACATATGTAAACATATTTATGCGTTTTACGTCTGTTTCTATGGCTATTTTATACTTGTTTGAGCCTACGTGACTTCCGATGTGAACGAGACTGTGGGACTAGTTGTGACCATGATTTTCTTCAAAATAAATAAGTTGATACTTATTTTCCTACACATGTTATATACTCGTATAAATGTTTGTGTAAATTATGGGTATTTCAATTTGTACGTCAATATTACGCGAATCGTACGTGAATCGGACCGTACGCTGTCCCCACACTCGTCTCACACAAGTGACTGTGATGTCAAATCCCAGATTGAAATCGCCGTCCTTCTTATTTACACATCAATCACATAAAGTATTAGACACATAATGTATAACTCTTACCCTAGTTGATATAACCCGGCACTCCATTTTCAACTATACTGCACAATACGATATGATGTGTCGTCATTCGCATGGAAGAAATCGCTACAAATCTTCAATGATGATCAAAAACATGTCACACTATGGAGGCGGCCATCTTTGAATTATCGTTTGTTGATTGATTCGTTTCTCGAGTGATAATTATTACAGTACGAGTAATAGTAATATTTATTGCATCTTTAGAATTCCAGTTCTTCTTTCAATACAGTAGCAATAAACGTATACCAAAGTATAATAATAATGAAATAATAAAGAGAAAATATTATAATGTTAAGTTTCAAAGTACAATGTAATGTGTTAAAATATGATATTTTTTTAAAGACAAACAATAAAATTTAAAACTATCAACTATCTATTCATTCTTGAAAGGCTTTGTAAATAAACTATGAAACATTCTTAATAATTTCACAAAGCCACGGGGGTTTATTCAGCTTATTCAATACAAGTATATCTACTATTTCTTTCTTTCTTTCTTTCTTTCTTTCTTTCTTTCTTTCTTTCTTTCTTTCTTTCTTTCTTTCTTTCTTTCTTTCTTTCTTTCTTTCTTTATTTATTTATTTATTTATTTATTTATTTATTTATTGAATTTGGTCATGTACGGTTGGCACGCTTTTGACTATTCAACTCTGTAACTGCAATGAATGCACGAGCATGAGGTTATGTTCATGCATAACATGTCCATAGTATATGAAACTTGAATTTCGATTATAGATCAAATGTTATGGTCGGCGGAGCGTAGTCTCGGGTCACACAGATAACAAAGGGCGGGTCAGATCTCAGGCTACTATGTACATATAGCGGTCTGACATTGGATCACAGAAAGAAATAGAATACTAGTAACTCAAACCTGGAGCACCGGTCCTGGCACCGGTTACACATTTGCGGCATACGTAGGTGTTTTTTGTGTAGAACGAGCTAATACAATGAACCATCATGAGAATACCCTGCCCCTGTATTTACACATACTATCCCCTGCCACAAGTGGTTTCGTCCGTTGTCACAGATATATGTGCATCTACGAGCTCCATGCTTAGTGTAAATATTAATCGGGGTTCGTTTCGATACATGTATGCTGGCACGTGCCAGTCGGCACTCACGTTGGGCGTGTCGGTCAACCCATGGGTGATGTCAACGAGGTATGCTCTATCGTTGAAGAATTTTGCATCTATACGCATCGATCAGCCCAAGCTACATTAGTGTGTTGTTCTGACTTGCTGGACTGTGATTAGCACAATGGATTCCCTGATCTGGATCAAAGTGGTGGTGCTTGTAGGGCTACTACTCGTTGTCATGGTATTTGGCCTTCTTCCTTTGAAACTAGCAACCATATTGAAGACCAAGAGATTGGGCTCCGCAAGAATACTTCGGCTTCTGAGTTGCTTCGCCGGTGGGGTTTTTCTGGCGACTTGCCTATTGGACCTGCTACCAGAGGTGACGTCGCAGTTTGATGCTGTCTTCGAGCGAATGAACGTACAGATGAACTTCCCTATTACTGGGCTAGTGGTCACAATTGGGTTTCTTTTGATCCTCGCAGTAGAAGAAGTTGTCCTCGGTTGCAAAGAGTCACAATTGATATCTGCGAACGAAAACGTATATACACTGGGAATTACCGTGGATGATAGCCGTGGCGATTCTGATGACACCGATTCTCTTAGGGAGACGAAGTTTGTCCCCGAGGACACAGATTTTCTAGTGGCACCGACCTATAATTTTTCTAACAGTTTGCGTTCCATGGCTTTACTTGTCGCATTGTCTTTGCATTCTTTATTCGAAGGCTTGGCTATTGGATTACGAAATGAAAGTTCCGGTGTTTTAAGACTATTTACAGCGGTGGCAATTCACAAAAGTATTTTAGCTTTCAGCCTAGGTTTAAAACTAGTCCAAAGTAATTTGAGTCTACGAACGGTGGTGTTATCATGTTTATTCTTCGCCGTGACCTCCCCGTTGGGTGTGAGCTTAGGAATTCTGTGTCAGTCCATGGCTTCGGAACTGACCAGTGCCGTTATAACCGCCACATTACAGGCCATTGCGACAGGGACATTGTTTTATATAACGTTTCTCGAGGTGCTAGCGAATGAGATCAACTCAAATGGGGACCGATTCTGGAAAGTGGTCGCAGTCATTGTGGGCGTTGTTTGTATGACTGGTTTGGTGATGTTTGGTGATTGAAGTACGAGCACGAGGGAGTCACGATGATACTTTGTCAAACCGATGTTGACTGGCACGGTTAGTGAACTCCCCCAAGCATTTATCTCAAGGGTGACGATATTTGTGCGCCCAACACGGTTAATCGCTTCGTTCGGAACGTACTCTTCAAGTCTACAGGGAACCATTTTCTCTGGTAAGACAATGGTTACGACCTAATGATTTTAACAACGCCAAGATGTCCTCAGCGCAGTGAACTATGACCACATCACATTAACTGAATATCGAATAATTAATTCGTTTACAGAGGGAACGACCTTTAGACATCCACGCTTCACCGTGCTCGGTGATGGTATGCCCGCTAATGTATGTGCGGTTAATTGACAGTGAGAGCAATAAACGAATATAGTTTGTATACGTAAACGATGCTTATAATTTATATAATTACTTAAGATTTCGATGTACTGCCAAACATTCCAAATTGACAAGGAATTATGATACAAACGAATATGAAACTTATGAAAATGCATGCATTTTAAAATAAATATGATTAAATTATTTAATAACAAGTGTTGTTGTGTGTCTTGTTGCCTCCATCCGTATTTTTACTTGGACATCATGATAGCCACGCCGTTCTTCGTATTCCAAGCTTTTTTCACCTAGCTATAACCAACTACGGAATTACGATTTTTCTATTATGTTGGTTACACATGTACTTGTTTAATGATTTCAGGTGGCGAGTAGACGAGGTTTGAAAAAAAAGAATATGCTGTACGTATCTCTATGGAAACATCTGTTTTAATGTTATCACATTGAGTCAGTACACGTCTCAAAATTGAAGCCATCACGAAAAATAATAACGCGTAATATTTTTACAGTATATTCCCAAATAGTGTCTGGATTAACTAATTAGCTATTCACTTTATATTGTGGTAATTTCATGCTAATTAAACAGATTAATGTGAAGGAAATTAATCGTATAACTACTGCATAATGGCACTACTTATACTTGCATTCCTTTAAATTTATTTCTGCGAACGAATCGTTTGGATTTAAATGAAGCACGAGGATCCTACTGAATACATGTTTTAGAGATATGTATAAATCATGTTAATTTATATTTATAAAAAGAAAAACATACACTAGTAAGCTTTAATTTCGTATACCCACGCCATCGAAATAACTCGGTCACGCTGCCCGTAATTTCTTTGCCAGAACGAGGCAATTACATTGAAACACCAGCACTTCATATTTGTTTAGTTTTTTACTGAGAGTATTCAAGTGATGTTTGTGATGTAACATTACATTAGCGAAAGTTGACAATGACGGTCGAATATTTCATCTGAATATATTCAGTAAAATAAGTTAATATCATTAAGGAGAAACTGAATCATACATTTATTACTGGCAGGTAAATATTTTGTGATGTTTATGAGACAAAAACAAGTGTATGGACAATTTTCGAAACAATAGAACTGATTTGCAATTACATCACATAAATAATTCAATTGTTAGCAAACATTAGTTCACACATCTACGACAAATGTAAATTGCATGAAATTAATGGCAAAAATAAAAATACAATTTTTCTGAGAATTTCTGACGTTGTAGTTACTCAATAGAATGATGTGTTCCATATTGTTTAATTTCACCATCTGATCAGGTGATATTCATTCAGCAGCTACTTTGTCGGATTTCAAAGTTAGAATGAAACATGTGCATAGCGGTAAACAACGCGCAATATACGTCATTCGAACCGAAATAAGTGGTGCCTTAGACCGCTCGGCCACACTACCCGTAATTACTATGCGAGAACGAGGAAATTACATTGAAACAGATTTAACATATTCATATTTGTTTTAGTTATTTACTAAGTTGAAACCTTTATGCACTGTCCTTCTAAGGGACCGTGCTTTATGTAATACATTTTTAAACTTCCTCTGTATTGGATACTCCATCGGATGGATAGACTAGGTGTGAACGTTATTCCTCTTCCATTGTGTTATCAATAGAGTTAGCTACCCACCGCGCCATACTTGATGACAATTTGCCTGTATATCACTATATGCGACGCAGACGAGGACATTGTTGTTCGTAGATTCGCCTCCAAATTCAAAGGTTATCGACGCTGTGAACGCCGTCGCTTATATCCACTGCGTCACCTAAACTCTTCGTTGCTGGAGGGCACGGTTTATGGGGACGGTCAATGGTAAATTCAGTTTAATTAGTAATTGGAACCAAATCGGACACTGTTTTGAAATACACTGTAATGTAATGACAGTTCACCACCATATGTATGGCATAATATCAGTAAACGTTACACGCGGAGAAAAATCTCTAAAATTAAAACAATATTTTTTTACCATCTGCGACATGACAGTATGTTTTTGCTAACCCGGAAAGGTTGGTTTGTAGTCGCTTCGTTTGTAAAATATAAACGTCATCATCTGATTAAAAATTGCCTTGTGTATGGCAAGTACAAATCAAAACAGTACCGACGCTCAACAGACTGCACTGAGTAAATAGTCGGCTCCAGAAATAGAACAAATAACGCCCCTGATACAAAGCGAATACTCTAACCAATGCACATTTACCCGTACGGGTATTTCCTCTATAAATCCGCGGTCATCGCACGTTACAATTTCCAATATATTATTTCTTATATTAAAACGGTATATTCATGATAGTGGTCGTGGTAGATTTAACTGTACTCTCGCGAGACTTACATACACAACAGCTGAGTTTCTCATACAGGTAAAGAAGTAAGGACTGCAACCACCGAGAAGAGATCCAGATCACCGAGTACTGTAGGGCATTTTACCCCGAAATGGAAATTACCTCTGAGGCAGGGGATATTTTTTCTTATCGGTATTAATTGAAGTGCTTTACTGGTATTTTTCACAATCTCCCAAACATTTACCAGGTGTTTTAAAGTTTTGAACTTTCAAGGTTAAAATATTCACTTTTACTCTAATTTTCCCTGTGTGAAAAAAAATGAAGGTGATTTTCTTTGATGACCAAAGTGATAGGGCCGCATAAATTGCGTATCCTTGGGTTACAAAAAAAAATCCCCCCGTAGACCACGATCATACAGAAATTGACGTTGTGTAGGATCTTTTCATATGAAAATTTCATCATGCAAGTAACGTCGATCCTTGTCAAAAACATCTGGGAAAAAAGATCATCTCTCATATTAGCGGCGTGGCAATACGTACACTGTAGATCAGTGGGTGTAATTACATTCCCAAATGCTCACGGTCAATAACATGTAGGGGTTATTATTCAAACGAATGCGAAGTGTGTGTGCAGTATTCTCAATCGAAATTTAATGTTGTCAATATTGCATTAGTACACACGCCAATGAAAAAAATACCAAATGTAAATATTTGAACCCACTTCCTGTGCTGTGTGAAGTAGCATCCAATTATTTGCGTTATCCATATCATACGGTCTGATGACACATCACGTGAGCATCCTCACAGTCACAATACGGTGCTTTGTGTCTATTCCGTTTTATGTCTGGTCTGCGCTCTTTGGGTGCAACATCCGTACACAGATCGGAAATTAACGGCCGTTGTCGTGGGGTTGAGGGAGAACCCATTCAGTCCCTTCGTTATGGCATGAGTTCTCTCAGTCGGGGTATACAATATTGTGGTGTTTACAAAAAGGGTTCGTAACTCTAAATCAATTCAATGTACCATCTGCGATAGTAAAGATATGTAGCAAGAAAAGCTTTAAACAGATTTGGCTCATCGCTAATGGTGTCAGTAGCATATGTTAATAGTAAGGGTGGTGGTCGTCTCTGCAAGTTGTGTTTGATATGGATCTTACGTGACGTACACCACGCGTGCATTACGCATTGTTTGTTTACATAAAATTCGAAGACGCGTTGCTTAAGGACTGTCGCGCTTTACTAGTAATTGTCTACTATCAATTATGGTAATCCATAATATTCACTATTATTCGCCGAAACAGACGCTGAAACGCTGCTAGTGGTTTCTGTTAATTCCTCTCTCGAAATATGTCTAAAAACTGTATCTCAAATCCCTGCCCGGCGGCAATGCTTAGTTGCAACCAGTCCCGGCGTTCTGTGGTGCAACCATATGGATTAATTTCAGCATTCGTTATAAATGCGACGAATCGCTTATGTGACGTAATTGGATACAAATGTATGTACATGGCTGCAGTGGACATTGACATATGGCTGGACCATTTACAAACCTAGGGATTCATTGGGTTGAAAGATAACACAGTTGACTATGTTTAATCACACTGTGTGTTGGCTTTATAATGTCGACACAATAGCGTTTGTTCACAGTGAACATATGTGTGTTTCGTAATCGTGGCTGTCACAATGGTCCCACTCTTCCACCTCAAGTGTAAGCGTAGTAAAAAGTTCATATTATGTTTGACAATATTTAGTTCAAATGTTGGACCCTTTTTCAGCAATCTGAGAAAGTGTGTTCTCTACTTTTTTGAAAATACAACAGGCACTTTCGATGTATCTGAAGAACGTTATTTGCATGTTAATGTCAATTTTATTTGCGTTTTTCTTAACGCTTTGTGCATATTCTGCGCACGCCGCATCGCCCTGGGCAAAATCTATCGGTATTGGTCGGTTTTCATATCGAGTTCACAGCTTATGTTGCGTCATTAAATTAATCAATTTTTACAAAAATACTTGATACGGGAACCACCCTCTCCCGCTTCTATGATTGCTGATATATATATATATATGCTAGATTATATAATAATGCTAAGGCCGAAAAAAGGTGATACAGGCTTCAACCATATCATTTGTGAGACTTGTATGAACTGCTCTGCGCCCTATCGCCTACTATCAGCGGTGTCCTCCAGAGTAACAGCGTTTCTCTACAAGACTTCTGTATTTCTTCGTCGTTGTGTTGCAGTAGCCACTGACTGTCATCAATTTCCACATCCTGAACTGTGAGTTATCGCCAATGCACACTTCTCTAGTAGGCAATCCCATATTGTAAGAGTGAGTTTATTCATTGTATTTTTCTGTGTTTTGTTTCGTGTAATTATTTTAAGAGGTATTAAAGCCAGGAGATTTAACTTGACATTTTGGCGTATGTGTATTTCATTTCCAGTATATTGTCTTGTCTACCTCATTCTAGCAGTGAGAGAACCCCCTGTCTAGTGTGAGTTCTGTGTGTGTCCCTCTCAATAGCAATAAGCACTGTAACAACCCTTATCGTATACTTTCCCCGATACAAAAACAGGTCATTTGAGTGCAATGGTATATGGAATACAATATTACGAACACATTGGCAAAACTGTGCCACCATCTGGGTGTTCAGTCTTGAAGGGACATGTAATCCGAGTCCCTGATTCAATTATAGCAGCATGCCTGTATTGCTAGCGCCATCGTCATAGTCAAAAATACAATATCGCAATAATATTTTTTGTTCTCAATTTCTGAAATCTCAAATTTCTAAGAGAAGTTTTCATTTTCAACAAAGTACTGAATCGGAGACAAAGAACACAATTGTGTCACTAGTAATATATACCAAGAGCATACACCCGAATCTAAACAACAACTAAAGCGTGCTTGGCATAGTAAATATAAATCGGTGAGTACAAGTGGAGGTGTGAATCAATGGGTTAACGCGCGACGTGCGACTTTACGTCGTTAGATTAGTGTTTTCTTTTCAATGTTAACAAAGAAGCGATCCGTCAATTTGGTTCACGATTAGCAATAACACCTATGTCCTATCCGAATATTCAATTGGAATCCCGTCACCCCTCTTCAACATTTCATTTCAGAAAACATTAAAAATGCATAAAAACAACATCCATGAGAAATAACAGATGGGTACGATGATGATTATATTTTATTTTATATTATGTAATAATTTTCACGCGTGTATCACGTTGTACATGCACACACTCGTGAACCCAGCAATATCATCGCTTCAATAATTCATGTGGATGAGAGTTGGTGATGAAAGCAAACAGCATTGGGTGGGTGATATGTACATGTCGTGCGTGACTTTGTTGTAATCTGAATCAAGAAAAATAATTAATGATAGTTGAAACATCGTTTATTAATGGTATTACAAATTTGAAGAGGAAATTGCCAGAAAACGATATGGAGCAGGTGAAAATGAATATTTGTATAAACCCTGGGATGCATATGAGTTTTTTATAAGTTTTGTTTACATTGAACACGATATTATTATTATTGTCTATGTTATTTTATTAATGAATTTTTGATCAGTGAGGACGAGTTGCGTGTATGTTTTCCGTAAGCATTTATTTTATGACCATTGAATACAAATAAATTTACTCTCAAAATAAGATCTTGAATGAATGTTAATTTTGTTTAACTTTAATTAAATAGCGAAAATCGTTAGACCAGTGAGCAGGCTTACCCATATGGCTTAATCTGCAACTTGGTTTGGTGTTCAGCCGCCATTTGTCATAATTTGGGCAAAAAACTCGCATTCTAAAACAGCTGACAAACTGTTTTTGTTCCTTTTTCCATAAGAAATTTTGTTTTATACTGTTTTCTGAAAGCCTTAAAGGTGGTGTATACTTGAGACTTGTAATCAGAAAAGGGGGTTACCGGAAATGTAAACTGTCCTTTTAGAATAGTGAGTGGTGCCCTGAAGGCCTAGTTTGTCAGACAGTTCGACAATATAGACGCCGTGTTCGACTCCCCATTGGTCGGTGCTTACCATGGAACAATACAATGAACTTCAGCCACCCGTTCGATTCGAAGTAAATAGTTTTGAAAATGAATCAGCTGTAGTTTTAGGATCATAATCGAAAAACTCAAATATTTTTTTTTGGACATGTACTGTATATGAATGAATAATGATTGGCATGCAATTGCGCCCTCACAAATAGTCAGCATCCCAAACTATGTCGGTAGCGGGCGCATTTTTATAACACCGTCCTCTCAAAAAGTGTATTTCCCCCACATTACTATATTACCTATAGACCATATCGCATTTCCAAATTATAGTGCATTGTGGGATTATTTTGCCAGTTATCGAACACAACTCCACCAATCATAAGTAACTATCTCCACAACGCACTAAAATTTGGAATTACGATATGGTGTATACCAAACAGTCTTCAAATAGATAGTTGTTATAATGAAAAAAGAAAAGAAACGAAAATATATAGTGACATCCAACAATGTGTTATTACGATGACAGTTCGATTAATGTTTAATTAAAGTAGTTTGATATAACTTAGTTTTATTTAATAAAATAGTTAATCCATCTGTTTTCTTTGCCTATTTTATAAAACATATTTATTCCTTTAAACATTTGTAATCTATGTATTTAACATGATGTTGATCTTGTTTTTTTACTTATACTTGTGTTCAATATTTTCAGTTCGGTTCCATGTTCAATGAAACCTCGCTTGACGATAAAACCATAACATACCACGTGACAAAAACGACGACCTTGAAACACGTGCTTATGTCGCTATGACACAATATTGTCACGGTCAGAGAATAAAGTTTTCTGTTGAACACCATTAACATGTTCCGTCATATATAAATATGATTTGATTGTACTGATTGGATATACACAGTACAAATATCGCTGGTATATACATGTCGAAAGTAAACTTCACTTAGTGAAAAATACACATCGGTTTTTATCGATAACTGATTTTACCCGATATATACTGTGATCAAAACGTGTGTGCATGCATTACATTTGTTTTCATTGGCACTGGGACAAAGGAGTAGTGTGTCCGTCGACAGTGAAATGACCCCGGAGAACATTGGACGGTACTTTGGTTGACTGGTGAGGTTGCTGACCCCCAGCGTAGACTGTATAAACACCGGGTTCGATGACCCATTTGTTGGTATACACAGCCATTAAACGAGGAGGGACTATGATGGCGATGTTCGCAAACGTCTTGGATTGTAACTGCGTTCGGCTTACGCCAACAAGTTGCCACTTCGGTACTGGGATTGAAGCGTTTTTCCAGCTCAGATAAAACTGGGTGACCTAGCAAACGAACAAAAAAACACAATTAAAAACATCTAAATACTGCAAAAAGAAAACAATTACTATATGACAAAAACGGTCAACTTACTGACCAACATATATGAAAGTGCCGCGTAATTTCTTATGGTTTGTGAAATGTTTATCTGAAGCCGTGATATTTTTCAAAAATATATGGTCTATATATTTTTTACATCTATATCTATATTTTTTATACATCCAAAAAAAATATCTAAACTCGACTCAGTCTGACTCCTGTCGAAGTAATTTATACTGTAAATAACAGAAAATAGGTGTTCAAGTCATCACAGAGGAAATTCACGATAATGTTTAATTAACCGTAAATATACCAGCCACGTAGAGCTCCAAGTGATTTGGTACGGTTCTGGTGACAGCAATTCCGAGTAAGTCTACATAACCAGATCCATTGCAAATACTATGAGCATGCCTAAGTATATTGTCACAGTTTCATTTGGGTTCTCAGAACTGTTTTTGGAAACTGGGCATCAAGGAATATTCTTTATTGGAAATACTAAAAAATATATATGATATATATAAAAACTTTTATTTTTTTTTCTTATTATATTTTGTATCACATGTCAGTTCTTGTGTGCCTGTGTGTAAATTGCAACTGCTGACATATACTATTAGTTATTTTTGCCACAGAAATCTTCCTATCGTAATTATAATTTAAATGCGCCATCCCGGCGTCAGCAAGTTGCATCCGTCTGTGCATGAATCTCTCACTCAGGGTATTGGGGCGCACTCTCTTCGATTTGAAATATAAAAGGGTACATGTACTAGTACTTGGTAAGTATCACAGGGGCCTTATTAATGATTCAAAATAACTGGATGTGTCGGCCATGAATGTGGCGTCATCAGTAGTGCAGTGATTGGAAAGAACCACTGCCTGAAATATATTATGGTTATTTTGAATTATTCCTCTGACACTTAAGCCTACGGTTACCGACTACCATCTTCTACATACTCAAATAACCAACTATTTTCCCGCCACTGATGTGACACCTATTTAATTGATACTTGCTGATACCATTTCCAGGAAAACAAAGAATATATTATACCTCGTCTCCTGTCACATCTCCAGTATTTTCCAGAAAGACATCTATATTGATTGAACTGCAAGGTTTAATCGGTGTGGACGGAGTAATTAACAAGTCACTGTAGTGAAATGTAGTATATGATAAACCATATCCAAACGGGAACAGTGGATCTCCGTTGAAATAACGATATGTTCGACCTTCCATGGTGTAGTCCTCCATCGGCGGCACCTGCATACAGGAAATAAGAGTCTCCATTGCCGAGTGGAAGCTGCATGTTGTTGCCCTACATCGTCATCTCATGCCAGAACCCTCACTAAAAAAAGTTCACGTGCTTATTTTACCACCACTCTCAAGTGAATCATTTTGTAAATCATTCTGTAACTCGAAACTACAATTTGAACGATTGATCTGGTTTTAAGGGAACTTTACAACGTTGTATTGGTTACCAAACAATTCATACCCACATTGAAAGTCGTTCATAATACATAATACGATTATCCAGAGAAAATTACTATCTTTATATTTCTATTGAAAGTGTCTGTTTTTAAACATTGAGAATATACGTCATCACACATCTGAAAGACGTAAAACGTTGATAGCTGCCGATATGTCAGAGCGAAATAGGTCGAATGCCTTCGGAACAGACAACCTTGTTCATAAATTAAACTAACATACCGCGAACGAGATTAATTCACCAACCATATTAAGCCATTCGTACCTGACTCATGGATTTTGGCCATGTTATCGGTAGCCTACCACCGGGGTTACTCCCTGGTGAGTTCACAAACAGATGATAGAGCGCCGTGCCAGTGGTCTGTGCTGGGAAGAAACATTCCACTATAACAGGTATGGCAGGGTTACTAACTGCCCACGTGATGTCTAACGGCCCTGCGTTGAAGAGTAACAAAATAACCGGCTTGTCCGCAGCTGTAGGAAATCCATAAAAATACAACGATGAAAAATACATGTCATATAATTTGCATATTGTATATCTATCATACACGTTTAGATGGCCTAAAATAGCCCTTTTTTAATATCGACCATCTTAATGGTTTTTCCTGTCAGCTACTTCACAAACTACTTTGCCGCTAGATGGCGCAATTTATAGAAACTTTTACTGCCAGTATTGGCGAACTTATTGCTTGGTGGCGTATTAACTTTGACCATGCAAATCTGCCTGTATTATTTGTTATTCGAGTTATTTATTATTAGCTATTCTTGCCCAGACAACTAAAATTCATAGTACAGAATTCGGTCGGCTTTACGCATACTCCTCCATGATGTTCATGTTTGTGGTCATCACATTTTTTATCAGAATTTTAGAAAAAATGAAAGAAATTAAACTCATAATGAAAGCACAAATTTAAGAATAAAATAAAAAGCTGCTCGGTACGTCGATCTTAGGAAACAAATTACTTCCGACACACTTGTAATCATTCTGTTTCAGGCAGCATAGTATCACTAACACGTGGGGAAGATAAATGAGATGAGATGAAACAACTTCGCCCTCAGCGTCATTATATTTTCAAACGCGTCCTCTAGTGACGGGCACTTTTATGACGTAATTAGCTCGGCTGGTTCTCGCTTCAAGTGTTATGCTGTACCAAGCAAGAGGCTGATAACTAGTAATGGTTCCGACGATCTCGTTTCTTATTCTATTTCCCTGGATTACCTGACGCTGGCACTTACGCTCGTTCTATATATAGAGTTTTCCTTCTAATAATTGTATTTATAGACATGGGTAACGTATAACAGACCTCGGGGTGGTGTGAAATGACGTCACGTGCATTTGAGCCAGAATCCCGGCCCAGTAGAACAATGTGGCGATTATTAGTTACATCACAGTCCGTGGTTACATGCTTCCCATTGGAGATGCTGAATTGTTCGAGTTATGATGGACATGGAGTTACGAGCATCGTGTTACGAAAACATTGAGTTACTCAAATAACCATGCCTATATTTTAGTAACCACGCCCACTTTTGTGAAACCTCGTCTAAAATGTAACTCGACGTTCAATTAACAGTTAACCATCCAGTTGAGGGCAACATAGATTTTTTGTTCTGTTTCACGTTCAAATTTAATAACTCGAATGTTAATTAACGGTTAACCGAATTTCGAGTTACGTGAAACAACCAAATTTCGAGTTACGTGAAACATAACACGTTAAACAAAACAACTGTAACTCAGTTAGTTGTTAATTGAAGTTCGAGTTACCAAATGTGGACGTTAAACAACAGTAACAATTTATGTTGCTCGTAACTCGAAGTTTGGTTAATTGTTAATTGAACATTATGATAGAGTTACAATTTGGGGGAGGTTTCGCAAACGTGGGCGTGGTTTCTGGAATATTGGCGTGGTTATTTTCGTAACTCGATGTTTTCGTAATTCGATGTTTTCGTAACTCGATGTCCGTGACTCGAACAATTCAGGATCTCGTACTGTGGCCACGCAACAACCTGCGTCCTACTTGCCATTCTCAAAGGAACCAGCGAGTAAATACTAGTAGGTGACGCGAAGGCCGTTCAAAGGGTACATATCGTTTTGATCCGTCGTCCATCAAAAAAGATTTACGATATATCAATGACCAATACACACGACGTTGCCTTCATCCATATACTAGTACGTAATTTTGACGTCACAGAAGCGTCCGTCCCTAGACGGCGTGATTTATAAAATGGCGTATTCGTAGTGTAAACGTTTCAAAATTCATTTCATTTTTTACGTGAGCTGGTAGAAATAACACACCCAAGATGCATATAGTATAGATGTATTTTACCAAATGTGACCGCATCCTGGAGTAATCTTAATTGTTGTCCTGGCAACGTGAGTTCAGATCTGTCATGTGCTTCATTTTCAACTTCATTTCCTGGTGAAAAGAAAAAACAAACTATGTCATGTTGTTTAATTTGAACTTTGTAACGGACAGCGATTGACAGACAGAAAAAATTGAGAGACAGACATACGGACGGACAGGAGAAAAAGACAGAAAATACAAACAGCAAATAAATTCGCAAAACAACCCGAAATCACCACTATGCAATATATTTAATGTGAGTCACTGGCTGGCTCCTACCTGTTCCTAAACACACAACCACCATATCAACCCTGTCAATTGCTTGTTTGGTGCTCTTCGGATCATATTCGGTACAAGCCGGTGATAGACAACCTGACGCAAATGTGGTAGCAAGTCGCGCAATCTTCGACAGACCATATCTCGGTGTCACGGTCAGGTTACTAACATCCGGCGATTTACTACCGTATATTTCGATAGGGTTATCGCCAAACGGTCCAACAACCTAAACAAAATGAGAAAATGTGACATTAGATGTAAAAAAAAAACGTATAATTTTACATTGTGTTCAATAAATCTCACTCTGATATCATGTATAGCGCCGTCACGGTGTTGAAGCCTTAGGCTATTGTTTGACACATTTCATGAATTAAGTACACGTCAATTGTGGGGAAGACTTTAAGCAAATTCGCACCTATGCGAACGCTGGGACAATTTCAAGAGTTCGAAACGAATTAAATTTTAAGCATGTTACTGCACATATAGTACTGACTAAAACTATTTTTTTTGAAACGTTTTTCACAAAATTGGGACTTATAGCGATAATTTTATATGAATTTTTCATTGAATATCACAAAACAAAATTTCATTAACATATTATGATAATGAAAGGTGGTATACAATCTTTAATTCGTCCCGAACTCACTTTTTTTCTTTTTTGCAATTCGCGCAAATTCAGACCACGATTTTAAATATTTCAAAACATTACATCAAGACTCCAATAATGCTTTAGTAATGATGTCAGATAAAGCTTTAAATCGCAGACATTTCTTTCATAAAATAAAGACTAAACAGCAATGCAATATACTACTTTCTTTGTGCTATGTTAAAGTGGGAGGGTCGTCACCTGCGCACGCGCGGGAATTGAGTCCCGAACGACGATAACAACACACGCTAAAGACGCAAATGATCAAGTAGACGCTTGTTTGTAAACAATGACACGCTATGGCCATCTGACGCATGCGCAGGTGACGACTCCCCTGCTTTAAATCACCTGTAAACGACAGTCATATATGAACGCAGGGATAATTTGAACATACAACCAACTACCCAACATTTAATTACGTTTAAAAGAGTTGTTTTAGGGTTTGGTTATTCTAGAATCATATCAAATACATAAAACAGCATGCCATTTCTTGAAGAAAAAAAACAGCAATTGCGCACGCGCCTTGAAATACTGGTACGTACTAATTATAATTTATTCGTAAGTCATTGTTTCAACAAACAAATACTTCTTTGTGTGCCACCAGTATAACATGTGTGTATAAACATTTAAAGCGCGGTGGTTGTCATGTAAATAAACAATGTATTTTACATGCGTTGTATACGTCGCTATGAGTCCCATATCGAACAGGACGCGGCGCGACGACTACCGCCATTTAATATCATGCAAAAACACTTAGTTCTTCATGCTGCAAAGCACCATTCGTACAAGTCACACCCCCTGGCGGCAAAGCGTTCTGTGACGTAAAATGATGTGTAGGAAAACGTTCACATCATCGATATCTGTGTTTTTAGAGAACTGCTGTGTTGTAGAAGACGAACGACTCTGAACCAAAAAGTGTTATCTATTTGAACGCCATTGTATACACCCATCTACGTCATTTCGAACGTCGCAGAAACACTTCAGTAGAGGGTGGGTAACTACGTCACAGATACTATCTTAGTTAGAGAGAATAGCAGCAGAAGAAGAATTCTTACAGCAAGTTTGTCAATCTTTTCTTTCAGTGGCAAGAATCTATTCTCATTCTTCAACAACACAAACGACTTCGCAGCCGCTTTCAACGACAACTCCTGATGCTCCTGACTTTGAATAATGGACAGGTCCAGCTTTGAATACGGATTCATTTCCGGTGGGTCGAATTCCCCGAGCCTCATTCTCGTGTAGAAAAGTGGCGAAACTCTCGCTTTGACGGTTTTCATTGTAACATTGCCCTGCTTCACCGCCTTGGTGGTCTGCATCATCACATTGTCAGTTAAATTCGACGAGAGTTCCAAATTGAGTCCGCTGTTGACGCACGCGATAGCTGTGTCTAGCATGTCCTTCGTGTAATGGTGTGCATCGTAGACTTTCTCAACTGCTGATTGGTCACTAATGACGTATCCCGTGAAATTCCACTCCGTGCGGAGAATATCAGTGAGAAGTTTCTTATTTGCGCAGGCCGGAACTCCATTTATACTGGTAACATAAATAAAAGCTTGGATTAATTTTGGGAGGAGTATTTGTTATTATACTGCGTGCACAATGACGCCGAGAGTCAACGTAGTGCAGCGACAAGAAACTGGGCGAGTCTATATAATAGCGAAAACACGGAGATACTTCCAGATTTGTTTAAGCAGGGACGGTGTTCGCGTTTTATCGAAGTTGTGGTTAGCTATGACGAGACACTTGTAATCCCTATCTGTTATATGTTACAAAGGGCCGAAGTAGCTTAAAAATGCTGCAACTGTTTCGTCGAAATAATTTTATCAACATAAAGAAAGACGTCTTAGATTGATGAACTTGAACTCGGTTGATGATTGCTATCATATCATTTTGAATTTACAAATACAAAAAATGTAGTCTTATAAACCATGTATATTTATAAGTACCCATATTTGACTGAATTGTAAGAATAATGAACATACTCAGTACCTGTTGTAGCTGCACATCAAACTGTATGTCCCTGCTTGTATACACTCATGAAACGCTGGTAGAAACGTCATCCTCAAATCTCTGTCAGATACCTGGCAAGGAATAGTTTAATTTGATACACAGGTACTAGCATGATAATGAGAAAATGTGTTGATGTTTTTTTGTATTTCTGACAAATTTGGTCATAAATCGCATGAAAATTTTCATTAGTTTATTATGAACAATCATGAAGCTAATGTCCAATGGTACAATTAAATAGCATTAATTAAGCTTTTTGAGAAACGTGTTCTAATATTTCTTGATAATTGCTAGTTTTAGAACAATTCCATAGAGCACAATGTTAAAGAAAAATTGCATTTTTTGACACTTCTCAAAACCCAAATTTTTTTAAACAAAAAGTACTCCATCATTAACAATATATGATTTTTTCAGCCTATGTCACCAGACTAGATTTTGAGATATTCCATACTATCTCTGGTAAAAGTGTTATAATAGTGTCAAAATGGCGACTTTCCACTAAAATACAACCATCATTTTCTCGGAAAAAAGAATGGTGACCACCAACCTTTTCTAGGTCAATATCCTTGTTTTGCCTGAATAAATGAATAAATTCTGGGTATTTTAATTTATGAGTAGGCTTCTGCCTTACATTAAGACAGGAAAACAAACTGACAATGACAGTAACAACCTACACTTCGGTACAACTTTATTCTTACCTTGGCATCAAATGTACTTCTCGAGGACGGGATATTCTCGGGGCCTGCGTACGCATCGAAATGTTTACACCCTGCATTGGCAGTGACGTAACGAGGGTGGTTACCCTGGAGACCAGTGACAAAACTTGCAGCAAGTGTACCAGACAGGTATGGATCTTCTCCGTATGTTTCCTGAAAGCGAAAATACTAGTAATTATATCGGAAGTCGTGTAAGAAATCCTGGTAAACTTGACAGACTAAGACTGCGAAACGTCTGAGATAGCGGCAGAAACAACACGAGTTTGTTTTACAAATAATAGCGTTTTTTTCACATAATTATGTACCACACTACTGCAGGTAAATATTTGATTTGAAAAGGTAAGGTGCATTCGTCAGGCTCGTTTTGTTGATATTGCACAAGACAATGACCGCGGCGTCAAAAACCATATTCGAACAAGCCTGTGACAGAATATCTGACATCCCCACTCTAAGAGAACGTTCTCAGTGTCAAACGTAACATATGAGCAAATAGAAACAAAAATATGCGACTATTAACTTTCCTACCTGGATTCTTCCCCATAATGGATGCCGAGCGATGTTAATAACTGGACTGAAACAACTCAAACCTTTGTGATCGCCATATTCCTTGTGTTTGGTATAATTATTGTACTTGGCTCGTACTTCATAGGCCGTGGCATTGGCAATTTGCTTAATAAGCACGGCACTGTAACACATTGACAGTAAATGTTATAACAACCGGTCACTGGTAGCATAGTGTGTGTAGTGTCAGACTCATGATCGGTAGACCTAAGTTCAAATCCTACCTTAGGCTGAACATCAAAGGGTCGACCCCTACTCTGGGTGAGTGTGCCACAGACTCAATGGGAAGGTCAATCCACTGGCCGAGATTCATTCACTAACGAATGCGACTTTGGGGGAACCTTGGTTAAGGTCCGCAGGTGCTTGTGTTTGACCGAGCCTGGTTAACGCATTAAATTGCCATTTGATAGGGAGATGGCCGCACAGCCCTGTCATGTAGTCCCAAACAGGAAATGACTTCTGTGGCAAAATGCAATATGTGTCAGCACTTGCAATTTGTACATACAAAAAGTCAGGAGGGACAACAGTGACATTCAAAGTCCGGAACTGTCGCCTGGCACACAAAAATATTAGAGCACTTCAAAATAATTATATTTGATATTACATTTTGGTAAAACATTCAATTTTGATGAAATACTGAAACACTGGTTTTTAAAGACGCAATATAGACGAGAAGCTGAAATGTGCAATACTGCCGTTTGACACTACACGCGGATGAATACATTGGATTATGCTTTATCACGAATTATAATTGGCTTTTTTGGTACGTACAAAAACAATCAACGCGCATGCGTATTAGGTATTTTCATTCAAACTATTATTACACAGTCTGCTTCAAAACCAACATTATTAGTGTACGACACTGAATCGCAATTAAATTTGGCCTGCATCAAACAACAACATTAAAAAAATGCATGTTTTTGTTCATATGTCATCTTTATTTACCTATCCAGGTGTCTTAAAACGCATGAAAATGTTCATTGGTTTATTATGTAAAATCATGGAGCTATTGTCCCATGGCACCATGAAATAGCATGCTATTGTGTGTTACAATGACGTGTTTTGAGGAACTTGTCCTATTATTTTTTTCAAAAATTGTTGACACTTTTTTAAATCTATTTTTTTAAATACTTCAGGGCGACACAAACTACCACAACACCACTAGCCTACAATTTGAGAACCTATTGTAAAGGCGTTATAATACTGACAAAATGGACACTTCCAAATAAAATGCAAGTAACTAATTAAGCGCGTTGCTTGTGACGTTTACACTCAGACTGACAACCTTGTCCGAGGTATACAGAATGCTGCCCACAACGGTAACGTTTATAATCATAAACAAACTAACTCGTGCAATAAATTATACTACAGTGTATATACCAATAAAAATCGGACACTTGGTGTTGGTGACACTTTGTGTGTTTTCAGAAAATAGTCCCGATTCACGTGACGTGGTATCTGCACAGGGTCAAAACAAAATTTTCTTTAGTGATTTATCACTTTTCTCACCACTATTTTCTATAATTTTATCGTTAACTTTGGATCAAATTGAGACACAGGCCTTGATCACAATTTTAGACATGTATTATGTGAAAAATGCTAAACAGGTTTAATATGTTTAATAAGGTTGAGAAGTTGGTGTACAGAGGGTTATTTTCGATTCACAAGACGCATTTTCACTGGGAAGTCGTGTGACCATACGCAAAAGACTCATAATCACTGCATCGCATTCGCAGATTTACACAGCCAGCCATGGCTTTAACCAGTGCAACCACTGCGCTGTTATGAAATCTACACTACTGGTGAAAGTTACTACATCACGTGGTCCGTCACTTGGTAGAATAACGACAGCCCTCAATTGTTGTCACTTTCCAAAGAGGTCGGATGTCACGACAAACATGTACATCTTTCATGTGGTTCTTCAGTACAATTTCGATGATCATAAAACTGCTTTTTAAAACGAACTTTTAAATTGTCTTCAATGATGTCCACAATATTTTCATGTTTTTAAAATGTAATCAGTGGATACATTTAAACCAACAACGGGCTATGACCTACTGGTATATGAATTTGGAAAGGTTATTGGTAGCTGTCGGATTTGTTTTTTTGTTCTGTACAATTATTCACTGCGTGCCGTCTTAATGCGAAGCGTACATTCACACTGGGCGTACTGTCGCCATTCAGTCAAAACATAATCTGCCCGGGACTCAAACAGGTGACAGCTTTTAATAAGTGAAGACAAGGCCGCGACCCTGTATGATGTACGTATCAAGGGGCGTGAATTACACAAAGACACAAATAAACGTACTGTACATCCCGGGCTTTAGGCGTGAATAAACTGATTTCTGGTCGCCGTCAAGTAAACTATATACTTAACCGCTCTAGTAGTTTAAAGGACGGGAGCTGCAGTTATAGACGTATTTGTTCATCCATGTAAAATATATATTAAAAAGAAATATAAATAAAATTAAATAACAAAAATGGTAAAAATACTGCTAAAGTAAAAGCTTATACGTCAAAACATATGCCATAAGATAACATAATTTGTTGTCGTGTTTGTGGTGCTTGACTCGTACCACTTAGTTTACAAAAAATAAATTATATCTATTTCATGTCATAATTCAAATACCAGTGATTTTCACGCCAGTTAATAGGATTATTTACCTCGAGCATTTAATAATAAAGAATCATGTACCAGGTGGCTGAAGGGGCGGGACGCAGTGTGCAAAACAATCTGCAATGTTCCGTTCCCGGGCGATGCTACGCCCAACTTATACAAATGTTGTGCTGTCTATTGTTTGGCGGCGGGTACAGAAACATTCATAAAACGAATAATGTAATTATAAAAAAACTCACTCGAATGTCGCTGCCAGTCCGAACGCCTGGGGGAATGAAGTAGCTGGTCCTGCGGAAAGATCACCGCGTAAGCACTCCGTATTCCACGAATAGGGACCAATATTGAGACGATCGATGGGCGGGGCAGGTCCGTTACTATACCTGCCTCCCCTGGACATTTGCAGTACGATTTCTTCTAACTTAAGCCTACCGACCAAGTCTTCGACTCGTTTGTTCCATGGAAGCGAAGTATTTCTGAATGGAAAGTCGCTGAGAATCGTGGAGATCAACGAGAACAACACGGAAGTGAACACAACACATTTCCCGGGAGGTGCCATTATCGGAGGAGCTTCGATCGTCAACACCCTTCGTATTCAATTGAGAAGTGTCATTTCAGTGCATGTGATAACAGTTGACTAGATCAGGTGATAGTGCACCTGACGACCTACTGAAATTTGTACAATGCATGACGGGGTATTGGTTAATAGTCAAAATGTAACATTGCTGCCTACGAGGGCGCAGTCTCACACAAGTTCTCCGTTTCAAGTTGAGGGCGTTTTCAGTACTTACGTATATTTGGCTTATGTTACTGGTACTTTAAAATAAACTATTATTTATCATGACATTTATGCATTTTATGATTATATAAAGTGGATGAGCTTTTCTGGAACTTTCGAACTAGATGCTGTAGTTTTGGGAGAGAAATTTATCGAAGATTTGTCACGTACATATAGGTACTCATTTGTCTTGTAGATGCACTTCGTTTGAAACACTAAAACTACCAATACGAGACATCAGTTGTAGAGGTTACATACAATGCACATTTACCGCAGCCAGACGCACAACCAAAACAATTGCTGAACAACAGCCTAGTTTAAAATTAACACCGTGATTAACAATGTGAATTTTTTTCGTTTTTATGTAGAAAAATAAAGTATTTTTCACCAAGTAAAATCATAGTTATTAAAGTTATCGTTGATATATGAGTTGTTGAACACACTACATAGTTTGTAATTTCATTCAGCTTCTTTCAGTCATAATTCAAGATAAATAAAAAGCAAAAATATATAGAATATAGCAAATTATCTTTTTCCTGTAATATTCTTTTGTAATCGGTAATTATGAAAATTAGTTATATGTGCATAGGGAATACATTTTGTTATGAATTATTCTTAATATAAATTTCTGAATTATCTTGTCAAACTCGTTTTTTTTTCTCCAAAAAAATTTCACAATTTTGAAAAAGGCAAGTCTTTATCGCAGTGTTCCATGTATGTAATGCATATACTAGTAGTTTATTCGTAATCACATATGCCGCAATAGAACGCTCGAACAGCGCCAACGTGAAATCTCTCTTCCCGCACTCTAACAGCATGTGACGCGCAGCAATGCGTAGAGCGCCAGCCCAAGAAAGGTTGATTTGTCATGCTTTGTTGTCATACGTCAATAGTTTACAATTACCCTCTTGTTTGAATTTCACACATAGTTAACGAGGCTTTTAAAGCGGGAGGGTCGTCACCTGCGCACGCGCGGGAATTCAGTCCCAAGTGACAATAACGACACACTTTAAAAACGCAAAAGGCGCTTGTTTGTAAACAATGACACGCTATGACCATCTGACGCATGCGCAGGTGACAACTGTCCCGCTTTAACACATACTACAGTAACAACAAGGTAACAAGGTACTCTTCTAATGAGAACTTGAGGAATGTTTCCAAAAACAGAAAGAATTTCAGCTGCGGCTGTATCAGGAAATGTATTGCTAAAATAATTGTGGGTATCACAGGTGTTATAGCAGACACAAAAATACATGCAATTAAAAAACGAATCGACGACGAATGCGAAGTAAAATATATTTAATAGTACAATGTGTTTCTAGAATAAAAAAACCGTGACTGGCGATGGTAATGAAACATGTACAGAGCATACAGTTTTCAAATATATCTTAGAACTGTAAATAACTTTGTAATCAGGTTACGGTTTGATACGATTTAATTTTTAGTCGTATTTTTGTTGTATTTTTTAGAAGAAAATTAAAGAAAATCATTTGTTGGTTGCAGTTCAACGATTTATATTATTCTTTCCTTAAAATACCAAAGATAAAACACCAAATCCGATAAAATAAAAAGTGACGTACAATGTTCTCAATTTTGCCGATCTTGACATAAATTATCAGTATATTTATGTCGTCACTTCCGGAGAAAACCCTGGGATGGTTTGTTATTAGCTGTCTTGCAATCAGACAGAGGCGTTATTGGGTCTGTTATAGTAAACTTTTCTTCCAAAATATTGGACGGTACTTTTGTGGCTTGATTTGGTTGTTGCCCGCCAACGTAGACAGTGTAGACGCCAGGTTCGATCACCCATTGATCAGTATATACCGCCATCATGCGGGGAGCAATGGTAAAATGAACTTCAGTGACTCCGTTTGTTTCGAGGTAAAATCTTTTGAAAGCTACCAGCTGTAGTTTTGGAACGACAACGGAGGCGTTGTTCCAGCTCATATAAACCTGTGTAACCTGTTAATAAGAATATACTACATTGCAGTATCGTGAAACGGATTTCCCGTAGAAGAAACGTAAATTGCGCCCTCATCATAATGGCCGCAACCCAATTACTATTATGTCGATAACGAGCACAGAAACGGATTTAAACATGTCATAATATTGAAATAATAACATGCCATTTGTGTTTAAGCTGAAATATAGTTTGTAAAACGCGAACATTTACAGTACAGTAGAATGTTATTTATTTATTAACAAAAATGTCTTGGTGTATGGGAGTACCCATGATAACACTGCGATAAATATTTTCCGTTTTCAACAATGTGAAAAAACCCCTGAAAAAACTGATTTTGACAAGATAATTCAGAAATAGATTAAGAATAATTCATAAAGAAAAGTATTCTTTATGCACCATAGATACATTTCACAATGTCGAAAACGGAAAGTCTTTATTACAGTGTTATGGGTATGGGTCTTTATCGTAGTGTTCCATGTATGGAATGCATATACTAGTAGTTTGTTCTATTATATAGTAGGAGTTTGTCGATTAACATTCAATGTATGTCTAGTATAAATAGCATAACACACTTACAGGCAAATACACGCCCATAACCGTGCCCGGTAGACACAAAACTGCATTTGGTTGGCTCAAGAATAACGACAGGTACACCAACTCCCTGGCAACAATGCCAACCGGTCCATCAGATGACTATTGTACCTACCTCGTCTCCGCCTGGGCCGAGTTTATACACGGTAACAGATACTTTTACTCCGTTACATGCTGGGATCGTGGACGGCCATATTACCAAACTACTGTATGAAAAACTTCCATATGATAAACCATATCCAAACGGGAACAGTGGATCTCCGTTAAAGTAACGATACGTCCGACCTTCCATAGTGTAATTCGTCATCGGTGGTACCTACATTTTATGGAAAATTATTCAATGGCAAACGTCCTGGTCTTGTGTCGACAATGAACTAATTCATATAACTGTTAAATTATTAACATGTAGTGGAGCTGTTGTTGTTGTTGTCGTCGTCATCATAGTCGCCGGCTTTGTCATTGTTGTTTTGTGTTTGTTTGATTGCTTGTTTGTTTTGTGTATCCTTGTTTGTTTCAGTGTGACACGTCAAAAGCTCAGTGAACTTTCCTTATGGATGAACCATTATTTCTTCTAAGTACCGAGGATTATAATCGGAAAAAATCAGTAGAAAACATGGGAAAAAATCATGTGCGTGATCTGGACACAACCTTTAGGCTAAAACAGGAAAGAGTACATTCCTCGACAAGATATATAATATGCCCGAAATGCTAGCCTACCCACTCCATCATAAATAATGGTCTACCCCTTAATTATCTTAGCTCTCACCTGATTCATTGATCTCGGCCACGTGATTGGTAACCTTCCACCGGGGTTACCGTTGCCTGTATCAACGCCGTGCGTATTCATAAACATTCTGTACAGAGCATCGCCTGTGGCCTGTGATGGGAAGAAGCACGCCACGATCACCTGGATTGCCGGGTTCTCAACAGCCCAAACGATGTCCAAAGGTCCAGCGTTGAATAACAGAAGAATAATGGGTTTGCCATTAGCTGCGGAAAGATCGCCTCATAACTTTGAAAGTTTATTGAAAAGGGATGTTAATACTAAATTAAAATTTATGATTTAGTTCATTAGCATATGAGACTAAGACGTTTTCTAGATCTACTGTCTAGGTATATATGTTCTATTAATTTTTGTTGTGCTATGTTAAAGTGGGAGGGTCGTTACCTGCGCACGCGCGGGAATTGAGTCCCAAGCGACGATAACAACACACGCTAAAACGCAAAGGCTCATGGGTAGAAGCTTGTTTGTAAACCATGACACGCCATGGCCATCTGACGCATGCGCAGGTGACGACTCCCTCGCTTTAAGTGCCACCACCGTCGATATGGATATATATATATATATATATATATATATATATATATATATATATATATATAT